TCGGGTGTGGGAATTCCTATTTATCCAGGCACCATTCCCAGAGCACTCCACGAGCCTGGGGAGGGAAATTCCAGGCTGTCAACACCACAGCAAAGCCCTGCTCCTTCCGGACAGGATGCCTGGCATGGGTGAATTGAGTTCCCTCGCAGCCAGGGCAGAGGAGATGGAGCAGCCTCTGCCCATCCTGCCCATCCCTCCCTCCTGCCCGGGCTCAGGCAGCACCTCCTGGATGCAGCCACTGGAATTCCATCACCCAGCAGCTGCTGTCACCAGCTCTGCGTTGTCATTTTTGTCTTATTAAGTGTGAGAGCCTCAGCTCGAGGCTCAGGCTGACAAAAAATCGATGTTTTCCCACCGTAGGAAATGCTTCCAAACCTCCTTGTTTTTCCTGAGGGCTGTAAATTACCCTGCAGGCGACGTCTCTGTCGCTGCTCCTGGAATTCTCATCCCCACGGAGCTGATGGCTGGGAGATGCTCAGGGAGCCAGGGCTCAGCACCCTCATCCTGGCATGACAGGCTGGGCAGCCTTGGCCGCAGCAGGGCATCCCTGAGGAGCTGGAATTTGCTCCTGAGAGCCTGGTGGGTGCTCCAGAGTGGTAGGAGCAGGGCTGGGCATCCCCAGAGGGGTTTAGGGTTTTCAGTTTGGCCAGGGGGAAATGACAGAGCTGCCTGTGGTGGGGACAGACTCGGTTCTGTGACAGAATCCCGGAGTTGTGGAATGGTTTGGGTCGGAAAAAGACCAAAAGTTCATCTCATCCTACCCCTGCCATGGCAGGGAGACCTTCCACTGCTCCAAGCCCCATCCAAGCTGGCCTGGGACACTTCCAGGGATCCAGGAGCAGCCCCAGCTACTCTGAGCACCCTGTGCCACGGCCTCAGCTCCCTCTCAGGGAAGAATTCCTTCCTAACATCAAACCTAAACCTGCATGAGCAATTTATCCCCATCCATCCTCACACCAGCAGCACCCTTCAGCTGAAATATCTCCTCTCCCCTCCCTGGGGATGTGTTTCTTTATAGGCTGATCCCATCCCCTCCTGCTCTGCCAGGCTGTCCGTGCCATGTGCAGGCTCTTGCATAAGCAGCTCCCAGCTCTGCCCATCCATCCCGGGTGATTTCCTGCTGTTCTCCCCTCCCTGTGATTTGTAGCTCTGCAGTTTCCCAGGCCGAGATGCATCTCCAGGGCCCCTTTGAATCGTTCGCAGCAGAGTTTCAAGCCGTGCTCTGCCCGAGGTGACGGATTTGGTCCCGCCGGGATGTGGGAGTTGGGCTGGAGGTGAGGTTCCTGTCTGGGTGAATAATTCACCTCGGTGCAGTGCCGGCTCTGGAGGAGGCTGGAGCAGCAGCAGGACAAGCCCGAGCTTGTGTGGGTGTTCCAGGGCGAGCAGTGCCAGGGAAAAGGGCTCCCATGCCATTCCTGGGTGCTGCAAACCGGCTGTGCCGCTCCGGCCGCGGCCGGCACCGCGGCGCATGTGGCACATGGCATCGGGGGGTGACTCAGCTGCCACCTGGGCTGTCCCCAGTTCACCCTGCAGGAAGTGAGTCAGGTTTTGAGGAAGGAAAAATGTTAAAATGATGGGGCAAGAGTCCTTGCTGCAGCGGGAGGAGGCAGGCGTCGGTCGCAGGAGGGACGCCGGGATGGAGGGTCACAGGCCGTGCTCAGGTAGGGACACCTCGCTCGCTGCAGCCTCCCCACAGAATTTGGGAAAAGGAAGGTGGGAACACCCTCTAACTGATCCCAGCAACAAATCCTGGGGGGTGAGCTCAGCTCTCACCTGCCCTGGCACCCAGGAGCTCCCTCAGTCTCGCTGTTGCATGGAGATGCTCTTTCTCCTGCCAAAAATCTGTGTGGGGAGTTGAGGAATCACAAATCATGGAATGGTTTGGGTGGGAAGGGAGCTTAAAGCTCATCCAGCTCCGCCCTCTGCTGTGGCCTGGGACACACCAGCAGCCCAGGTGGGATGGGGATGTGTCGCTGTCGAGGCAGGATGGGAATGAAGAGACTTGACTCAGAAGGCTGCTGAGAGTAAAACTCCAGTTTATTCAAAATACACTTCTCTTTTTGACAGAGCTTTGTGAGCACCAACTCCTGAGAGTAAAACTGATTTATTCAAAATACACTGCTCTTTTATACAGAGCTTTGTGAGGACCAACTCCATTGGTCCTGAAGTGAAAACAACCCACAGCATTGGTACAGAGTGCTTGATGCACAGTGATAGAAATTAACTATAAACAGTGTGAACAACAAGAGAGATAAAGAATTATTTACATTCTTCTCCAGCTCTTTCCCAGGTTTCTGCCTGGATAGAAACTCTCAGTTTCTTTCTTTGACTGAATCTGAGCCCCACAGGGATGGATGCAGAGCAGGGACTGATCCGTGTGTGCCTTTTTTCCCGCAGAGATGGACACCTTCAGCACCAAGAACTTGGCCCTGCAGGCCCAGAAGAAGCTCCTGAGCAAAATGGCCACCAAGACCATCGCCAACGCCTTCATCGACGACACCAGCAGCGAGATCCTGGACGAGCTGTACCGGGCCACCAAGGAGTACACCCACAACCGCAAAGAGGCCCAGAAGATCATCAAGAACCTCATCAAGATCGTGATGAAGCTGGGGGTTCTCTACCGCAACGGGCAGTTCAGCCCCGAGGAGCTGCTGCTGATGGAGCGGTTCCGTAAGAAGGTGCACACCTTGGCCATGACGGCCGTCAGCTTCCACCAGATAGACTTCACCTTCGACCGCAGGGTGATGGCCAGCGTGCTCACCGAGTGCCGGGACCTGCTGCACCAGGCGGTCAACGGGCACCTGACGGCCAAGTCGCACTCGCGCATCAACCACGTCTTCAACCACTTTGCGGACTACGAGTTCCTGTCGGCCCTGTACGGCCCGGCCGAGCCCTACCGCACCCACCTGCGGAGGATCTGCGAAGGGGTCAACAAGATGCTGGAGGAGGACAACATCTGAGGCTGGGCAGCCGGAGTCTGCCTCCCGCCAGGCTGAAGATGAGGTGTGTGCTGTGGTCTTCAGCGGGCTCGCCGTCCCCTCCTCCTCCTCCTCCTCCTCCTCCTCTGCAGCGTTCTGCTCGTTTCTCCATGAGGTTGGACCTCTTGACTTTGTCTCCCCCTCGCCCAGGGTCTGCAAACCCCTCCCTGCGCTGGGCTGAGCCCTCTCCAGGAGATCCTGGCATTTTGGGTCCCTGCTGTACAGTTTGATTTCCTTTGCCCACCAAGTGCCTTTAGCTGAGTCCAAGGATTTGGACTCTTTGCCTTGAACTCTGTTGTATCCCTCTCTGTGGGGAAAACAAACCAAAGACTCGCGGTGTGAAGCACCTCTGAGGTGTCTCTGAGCAGGTGGGACGTTGTTGGGGTGAACAGTTTGGAGACCCCAAACTGGAGGGTTGTGGAACTCTCTGGTTTCCTTCCAGCAGCTCCACAACGTGGTGGGGAGCAAATCATGCTCCAGACTTGTGCTGCCTCAGGCAGGGAGGTGCTCCTGCCTGGGTTTAGGTGTCCTCAAAGACAAGTCCCTGAGACCAGGAGGATCCTTCCTCACCTGGGGATGAGCTGGGAGGGAGCTGCTCCATCCCTGGATCCCTGGAACCACCCCACACCCAACTGCCCACCAGCCTCCTGTGGTGGTGGTGCCACCTGGCAGCTCCAGTGCTGCCCTTGGTGGTCATCCAAAGCTCCCCTGGGATTTCATCCCTTTTCCAAGCCCTTGACTGAGTGATGCTCGTTTTTAGCAAACTCTGTAAACTCTGTAAAAATGAGTTGTTTAAATAAACTCACCTGTGTGGCCTGGGAGCTCTGTGAGGTTGTTCTGGTAGTGGTGACAGTGACACAATCAGCCCTGGGGACAGCTGGCTTTGCCCCCAGGTGCTGGTGGCTCTCTGTGACCTGGGGTTTGTGCCCTCTGTCCCCTGGCATTGCTGCTGGTTGTGCTGGCCCTGCTCAGCAGCTCCTGGGTTTGCATGGACAAAGGGGAATGGCTTCCCACTGCCAGAGGGCAGGGCTAGGTGGGATATTGGGAATTCCTCCCTGCGAGGGTGGGGAGGCCCTGGCACAGGCTGCCCCATCCCTGGCAGTGCCCAAAGCCAGGCTGGACAGGGCTTGGAGCAATCTGGGACAGTGGAAGGTGTCCCTGCCCATGGCAGGGGTGGCACTGGATGAGCTTTAAGGCCTCTCCAAACCCCAACCATTCCATGATTTGGTGAGATCCTGCTGCCAGCAGGCACCCACACATGCTCCTCTGCACCCCCACATCCCCTCAGGGCCCAGGGGGGCCCAAAAGCAGAGCCCTGGCAGCAGGGACCCTGGAGCAGGGAGCAGGGGTGGCTCCTGGAGCAGCAGGGATGCTCAGGTCACTCCCAGCACGCTGAGCTCAGCTCTGAGCACTGGAAATTGCCCTTTTAGCACCCAAGACACCACACCACCTCCACTGGCCTTATCTCCACAACCTTCTGGTGCCTTTTGCTCCCTGGATGTCTCCAGCTGCCGGCTCCTGCTCCTGCTCCCTTCCCACCACTGGCACTGATAACTCTCAGCCTTAGAAGATGAAATAAAAGACACAAAAGGCCCTGCCTCTGTCACCTCACAGGCCTGGCTGCAGCTGTCACTGATAATCGTGGGACACAGCTTGGGGTGGGGGCAGAGCTCGTTCACAAGGGGGTGTGGAGAACACCAGGAGCCCACGAGGTGCTGGTCCCTCAGGAAGGGGCATTTGAGAACAGCTCCTGTCCCCCCCCGGGCTGCTGTGTTCCTGTCAGGAGTGTGCTGGACAGGAATCAAAGCTGGGAATCCCAGGCAAGTGTGGTGGGATGGGGCCAAGGGATGCCCAGCCAGAAACTCTTTGCTGTTCCCAAGATGTGGGTCTGTGTCAGCTGCAAGATCCCCCCTAAACCCTCTGCAGCCCCCAAATTCCCCTAGGACACCTCAGCTCCTCCTGGCCAAGCAGCAACGAAGGTCCACACAGCTGGAGAGGGGAAGAGGGACAGAACAGAGCAGCTTCAGGCCAGAGCACGATGCTTTATTTCTTTATTTGTGCTGTATTTACACAGGAAAGGAATTGCACATTCCCTGTTATTACTCTGGATAAGAAAAAAAAAATCACTTTTCTGTAGGTATAAAATAGTCCTGTGGTTGTGCTGACATGTGGAAGGGTTGCCTGGGTTGATTCTTGTGTCAGAATAAGCTGCTCTGTGTTCCCCCAGCCCCACATTCACCATGGAATCAGAGCTTTGGCCAATTCCCTCCCTCCCTCCCCCTCAATTAATTATTTCCTCCTGTCACGCTGGTGGAGAGAGAAATCCCATCTTCCCTCCAGAGACGACAGAGTTAACAACTTCCCTTTAGCCAGCCCTGCTTAAGTCCAGCCCCTTATCTCCCTGCGCTGCTCTTCCCAGCCAGGCAGATAAGGAGCCCCTTTCCAGGGAGCTCTGCCCTGCTCAGCCAAGCAGGAAGGAGCACAGGAGGATCAGGAGCCTCCCAGGGCTTTTCCAGCTGCAAAAAGCACGTTGTTACTCTGACACAAGGCACAACAAACCTGTCCCCACACCTCCAAATCGGTCCCCAGCACATTTCAGTATGGAAAAACAGAAAAGGTTTGGCCAACCAAAAGAAAAGCCCTGCAGGTAAGCAGGAAATCTCTTCACTGCCATGCTGCTCTGGCCGTGCCCCCTGCCCGGGGCTGGCCTGGGGTCACAGCTCGTCACGGGGGGTTTTTGCTACAATCATGAGTTTGGACAGCTCGAAACGGAACTTGCCTTCCCTGTGAGACACTGCAGGGAGAGACAAAAGCCCAGGATCAGCAGCTGGAATAGCAGGAACAAAAGAGCCCTGCTGGGCCCTTCCCAGCGTGTTGGGCACTGCTCTTCCCACTCCCACACGTGCCAGGCTGGGGGAGAAATCCCTCATTACACCGGGAGTTTATCGCCCACAAAATCCAGCTGTCAGTGCTGGATTAAAGCACTGGACCCCCAGATCCATGGCTCTGTCACCAGGATTTGAGCTTAAACTGGTGCCAGGCCTGTCTCCCCTCCCAGCCCCTCTCTCCCAGCCCCCTCAGGCACACACCTGATGTTTCAGTCATTTCAAACTCTTCCTGTTTTAAGGGGATGTCGCTCAGGGCACCCGCAGCAGCCTGAGACTGAAAGAGGAAGGAAGGAGGTGTAAGAGGCTGAGGAAATCCAACAGGTCACAGCATTCAAACCAAACAACAGCCCACTGAGAACGAGCAGGGTTGAGATTTGCAGTGGAAGAATGAAGTGCACAAAGGAAATCTGAAGGAAAATCTCTGTTTTCCTGTTTCCTATCAAACCACGGACTCGTGTCCTTAGGGTGAATGAAAGCCTCACCCCTGGAAGAATGAACCAGACAAAAACACCAGCAGAGGTTTGATTTGCTTTGTCACATGCAATCAGCTGAGGCAATCCAAAACTCCCTCAGTGCCCTTTGGAGCCCCCTCCCAGCAAATCCGTGTGGCTGAGAGGGCAGGAACACAAAGGAGCAGGCTGCTCACCTGCAGCCCCTCTCCTGCCTGCCACCAGCCTCTAATTAAGGACCTGATGGAGCTGCACTTCATGGCACAGATGTCTAATAAATGTTTTCCATGTCTAATTCATGTTTTATAGCAGCCTCCCACACTCCTGCTTCCCCGGGATCAGCTGGGACTTACATAAGCCATGGCATACTCTATCTTGGCTCCTTTCACTTCAGCTTTAAACTGGGTAAAGAAGAGATAAGACTTCCCTTGGGGCCTGAAAGAAGAAAGCAGAGCCTTTGTCATCTGGCACAGAGGTGCAGAGGAGGAGGAGCAGAGGAATGAAGAATTCCTGGGTCCCTCCCTCCTCCTCCTCAACAGCCACCTCTGGATTTTTTGCAGCTTTTGTGCAGAGCAGGGGAGAGGGGAAGAGAGAATTTAGAAACCAACAGCTGCATGAAAAGCCCCCGGAACCGCAGCATCCCTGGGAGAGGAAAACCCTGACCAGATGCAAATCCAGCAGGGAAGCCGGGTCCTTGTCCCTGCCCCGCAGCCACCCCTGTGGTGGCCGTGCTTGGGACACACCTCCAGATGGAGCAGGAGAAGAGCCCGTTGTCCTCGCTCACTCCCACGGTCATCTGCCACTGCTGCACGGCGAAAATCCAGAGTCAACACGGGGAAAACCCTCCAAGGCCAATCCCTCCCCTCCAGCTGCAGCAGGAGCTCCGAAATAACCCAACCACCACCCCCAGCACTCGCTGCTGGCCCCTCCTGCTCCCTGCAGCCAGGATTGTGCTCTCACACAAACAGCTCCGGGCCCCTTTTCCTTTTGGGATGGGAAAAAGGAGCTGATTGCAGCAGGACACGCCCAGGGCTGGCCCGGCTCACCCGGGACTGGCCCGGCTCACCCGGGACTGGTCTGGCTCACCTCGTTTGTGCCTCCCTGGGCCGAGTAGGTGAAGGTGCAGCCGTAATCCCCCTGCCAGAGAGAGGAACAGGAGCTTTTATCCCACAGAACCCAGGAGTTGCTGAGCTTGGAAAAGCCCAGCACTGCCGAGGCCACGCTGAGCCCTGTCCCCAAGTGCCACAAGGCTTTAAATCCCCCCAGGGATGGGGACTCCACCAGTGCCACAGTGCCAGTGCCTGGCCTCCCTTTCCATCAAGAATATTTCCCAATATCCAGCCTAAACCTGCCCTGGCACCACCTGAGGCCATTTCCTCTGGGGTGGACTCGTGTTCTGGGGTGCCCAGGGACCCCCAGCCCCTTCTGCACTGGGGCCCTTCCCTTGCTGAGCCCCCTCCCATGAGGACCGTTCTTTCTTTGAGACCCCCTTCCCCTCTCGCTGCCCTGAGGGTACCCCCCCTTCCCCTGGGGGGCTGTTACCCACAGCAGGTCCCCATCCCTGGGGGTCTCCTCGCTCCAGAAACTGCCTCACCTTGGGGAACCCCTTCTGCTGGAGAACCCCCCCTGGGGACTCCTTCCCCTCGAGGACCCCCTTCTCTGTGGAGGCTCCTTCCCTCCTGGAGCAGCCCCGTTCTCCCTGGGGTCCCCCTGCCCTTGTAACCCCCTGTGGGGACCCCTCTCCCTTGCAGACCCCCGTTCTCCCTAGAGCCCCCCAATCCTTGTAGCTCCCTTTGGGGTCCCCCTTTCCCTTGCAGCCCCCACACTCCCTGAAGCCCCCCTGCCCTTGTAGCCCCTTTTGGGACCCCCTATCCTTTGCAACCCCCGCTCTCCCTGGGGTCCCCCCTGCCTTTAAAGCCTCCCTTTAGGGACCCCCTTTCCCCTGCAGACTCCCGTTCTCCCTGGAGCCAGCCCCCCTTTAGGGATCCCACTTCCCTTGCAGACCCCCACACTCCCTGGGGTCCCCCTATTCTTGCAGCCCCCTTTGGCGACCTCATTTCCCTTGCAGGCCCCAGCTCCCCTTGTAGCCCCCCTTTGAGGACACCCTTTCCCCTGCAGACCCCCGCTCTCCGAGGGGTCCCCCTGCCCTTGTAGCCCCCTTTGGGACCCCCTTTCCCCTGCAGACCCCCGTTTTCTCCCTAGAGCCCCCCGATCCTTGCAGCCCCTTTGGGGACCCCTTTCTCCCTGGGGACCCCCCCACCCGCTCGCCCCGCCCTCTCTCGCCTCCAGCCAATCCCCACAGCAGGTGACATGAGTGACGTGTCGCGCAGCCAATCAGCGAGGGGCGCGTACTCTCTCCGCTCCCGCTCCCTCCCTCCGGGCCGCTCACCAGGCTCCGGGAGAAGGAGTGAACCTCCCCGCCGGGCCGCACGTCGAACTCGGCCGTGCTCGGGGCCGCTCCCGGGGCCGTGCCCGGTTCCGCGGCCGCGCGGGCCGCCAGGCACAGCAGAGCCGCGGGCAGCAGCGCGGCCCACGCGCGGCAGCCGCTGCTCCTGCTGGGCGCCGCCATCTTGGAGAGGAAGAGCGGGCTATGGCGGCCGGCAGGGGCCAGCGCGACGGCACGGCGGCCATGTTGGGTGTGGGCAGGAGTCCGGGCGCGCCGGAGCGGCGGCGACCGCGCAGGGACAGGAGGACGTGGGGACAGCAGGACAGAGGGACAGGAGGCCCTGTGGTCAGGGCACTAAGGCACCACGAGGATAAGGTGCCATGGGGACAAAGGACAGCAGGATGGCCGGGCTGGGAGGGACAGCCTGGAGAGTGCTGAGCATGGTGAGAGGGAGCATCCAGGTTGGATGGGGCTTGGAGCAACCTGGAAGGTGTCCGGGGAGAAGATGGGCTTCGAATTCCATCCAACCCAAGCCATCCGTGGTGCCAAGATTAACCAAGACTTTTAATTGCTTCTTGCTGCAGAGGAACAAAAGCTCTTTTCCAGAAGGAAACAGCTGTGGGTTCTCCGGCCGGGTGGGAAGGAGGCAGAGCTGTCCTGGCTCAGGCTACTGGGTAGCTGACATCACTGGCCACCCCGCACTGGTTGTTGGCGTTTTTCAGCAGGAACATGTAGCCCTTCTCGCCCCAACCCTCCGACCAGCTGCGGGCAGAGACAGAAGCAGCACATCCATCAGCACACCCACGAGAATGGCGACCCAACAGGTTTGGGGGCACCCCAAGCCCTCACCTGTTCTTTATGATCCAGTAGCTCACGTTGTAGTTGCCGAAGTGGGCAGTGTTGTAGCCCACGACCAGCATGGCGTGGTTCGGCTGCTGCTGGCCATATGGGCAACTGAAGATGCCTGGGGGGGAGCAGGGCTGGGGTGAGCTGGTCCCATTTCCAGGTGGTGGGACCACTTCCCTGGGGCTAGGGGCTGCAGAGAGTGGCCCTGCCTCAGTTTACCCTTGAAGAAGAGACAGTACCTGAGCCATAGAACTGGAAAGTGTAGCTGCTGGCATCCACTGCCATCGACACTGGCCCCACGGCTGCCACCGCCTGTGCCAGGGCCGCCTCATCGCCCCGGGGCAGTGTCCTGAAGCTGGAGCAGTTGGCAGCTTTGTTGGAGGGATTGTATCTGCAGCGGGAGTTGTCCTGAGAGAGGGACAGTGTCACCGGGGCTGTGCCACCAGCCACATCCCGGGGTCACCTGTGGGTCTCAGATTCAGTCAAAGAAAGAAACTGAGAGTTTCTAGCCAGGCAAAAGCTTGGGAAAGAGCTGGGGAAGAATGTAAATAATTCTTTATCTCTCTTGTTTTTCACATTGTTTATAGTTAAGTTCTATCACTGTGCGTCAAGCACTCTGCACCAACGCTGTGGGTTGTTTTCACTTCAGGACCAATGGAGTTGATCCTTGCGAAGCTCTGTATAAAAGAGCAGTGTATTTTGAATAAATCAAGAGTTTTACTCTCAGCAGCCTTCTGATCAGAGCCTCTTCATTCCCGTCCTGCCTCGACAGCCACAGTCACCCGCTGTCCCTTACCGTGCCCGCCGGGGCTGTGCCACCAGCCACATCCCGGGGTCACCCGCTGTCCCTTACCGTGCCCGTGTAGGGGTAGGCGCGCTCGGAGCTGAGGCCGCCGTTGTCACGCACGTACTGGAAGGCCCGTTGCATGTGGCCCCCCCTGCAGCCCTTGTTGCCCAACTTCTTGGTGCAGTCGATGAGGTTCTGCTCGCTCAGCGCCACCAACTTCCCCGTCTGCCTGAACATGAGCCCCTCCAGGGCCCCCGTGGCACTGAACGCCCAGCAGGACCCGCAGTCCCCCTGGGGGAGGTGGGGACAGCAGGGGTCACCACTTGGCATCGCCCCCAAGCGCCCCAGAGGGATGCTCTGAGCCCCCGGTGCTGCTCTCAGGGGTGAGGACTGTAGAGCAGCACAGAGCTGCTGCTCCGTTCTGCTGCCCACATCCCACAGCCCTGGCTGGGCTCCCAGCCCGTGCCCACCTGGGATTTTACAGGTGTCACATAGCCCTTGGCCCTCCAGTCCACCTTCATGGGGGGTTTCAGGGCTGCCGAAGTTTGGAATTCTGCCGGCTCCTCCCTCGGCACCGGGGTGTAGCCGTTCATGAGTTCATTGAACTCCTGGTTCGTCTGCAGGTCACCGAGGGAAATGCGTGATGCCAAGGGTGCCCCCACCCTCCCCCGGGAGCCAGCTGGGAGTTGGCACTCCCTGGCTCAAACCCTGCGAACCATCCCCTCCCTGAGCCCCTGGATCAAGGGCTGGGTGCTCTGAGGGGTGCCCAGGGGAGGTGGCAGCAGGTACCAGGTCCCCGAAGTGGTTCATGGCCAGGCGGTAGCTGTGCTTCCCCTGCGACTCCTCCCGGTTGTGCTGCTGGATGCGGCGCAGGTTCTGCTCCCAGATCTCCCTGCGGAGCGCCTCAGCCTCCTGCCACAGGATCAGAGGATCAGGAACGACCTCTGGATCAAGGGGGCACAGGGTGGGGTGGGTGCAGGTGGGCAAGAACCCCTGGGCAGGAGCAGGAGGGTTCTGGGGAGCAGGACCTACCCCTGGATGTTCCTTGGCATAGAGATCAAGGATCAAGGGGGCACAAGGTGGGGTGGGTGCATGGGGACAAGAACCCCTGGGCAGGACCAGGAGGTTTTGGGGAGCAGGACCTACCCCCAGATATTCCTTGACATAGAGATCAAGGATCAAGGGGGCACAGGGTGGGGTGGGTGCAGGTGGGCAAGAACCCCTGGACAGGACCAGGAGGTTGTGGGGAGCAGAACCTACCCTCGGATATTCCTTGGCATAGAGATCAAGGGGGCACAGGGTGGGGTGGGTGCATGGGGACAAGACCCCCCTGGGCAGGAGCAGGAGGGTTGTGGGGAGCAGAACCTACCCCTGGATATTCCTTGGCATAGAGACTCTTCCACCCTTCCCAGGCCTCCTCCAGGGCAGGATCCGCTGCTGTGGCACAGCCCAGCAGGGCCAGCAGCAGCCCCAGGCTCAGAGCCATGGCACAGGGCTGGGGATGGCAAGAATGGGTCAGGGGGCCCTGGGCTGAGCACCCCAGCTGCAGCCAGGGGCTGGGAGCAGGAAAATCTTGGGGAGGCACAGAAATCTGTGCCAGCTCCGAGAGGGAGAACCAGGGGCAGGAGGTTTCTCTGCCGAGGCCGTGCCCGAAGCCATCCCTGTGTCCCAGCACGGAGCTGGGATGTTTGTGATTTCACCAAAATCCCTCCGAGAGGATTCTCCAAGATCAATTTACACCCTTTCGTTTGGCCAGCACAGACACACCCAGAGCTTTCCTTGGACACCCCACTCCTCCTTTGGGGGATCCTGGGATTTCTGAGCTGCTCCAGTTGTTCTGGGGGTGCAGACAGCATGGCCCAGGACAGAGATCAAATGCCTGAGACCCTCAAGCAGCCAGAGTTTCCACTGACGTGGTTTTCCCAGATCCAGAGCTGTCATTGCACCTTTATCCCACCCACTTTGGGAATGAAGATGCCAGGAAGTTTTCCATTCGAGCATCTTTCAGGGCAAGGAGTGACTTTTCGGAGCTAATTTTGTAGCTTGAGGAGTGTTTTTGTTTTAAAAATAAGTCCCCAAGAACATCTGTTCTCCCTCCACACCATTCACCTAAAAATAAAGCCCCACAGGGTGGGTTTTGGGAAAGAAATGCCTCCCAAGCCACTCCCAAGTCCCAAATTCTTGAGGAAGAGTGGTTTTTGCCTGGTTTCCCCAGCACCTGCCAGCTCCTCTGTCATTCCCACTCAAGAAATTAACTCAGCTTCATCCTCCAGCTGCAAATCCTCCACCCAGAGCCACCCTGCTCCATCACCCTGTGGGTCCACCCACATCATTTGTGTTTCAATCCCCACAGAGCCTGTTCCATATGGAACAGCTCTGGCTCCCCGGGAGGAGATTTCCCAGCTAATTCCTCTCGGGATTCTCAATCCCCAAAAGAAGACGACCAACCCCTTTCTAGGGTGCCAAAAAAATCCTGCAGCAAGCGGGGGGATCAGAGGAGCCAACAGATCTGCAAACTCTTCTAGACAAGAGAGTCTTAAGACATTTTAAGAAACACTCAGCTTTTTGGGGAAGAGGAAAAAACAGTTTAAATTAAGCCTAAAAATTAAATTAGGGAAGCAGAGAAACAAACTCTGCAAAAATAAAAGCTTCTTACCATCCAGCAGCACCCACCTAGCTGTTAGGAACAGAAGGTGCAGCTTTCTGGCTGCAGGATGCTCTTATAGACACATCTCAGAGGTGCAACTTCCTCCAGCCCAGCCCCTCCTTTCACCCCTCTGACCTCAAAACTCACACCTGAGGTGCTTTGTAGCAGCTAAACCACAAGTGCAATATTGGGACAATTATTTGGGCACAAGGACAAGAAGAGGGGGGGGGGGAATCTGCTCCCAGCCATCCCCAGGAAACCAAATGCTCCATCTGGAAGAAGCTGTGCATTTAGAACAAGCCTCCAGCAGCACCCTCAGGGCATTAACAGCTGGGTTAATTAACACCAGCTCCCACGGAGGAAGGCGAAGCAAGGCCAGGTTTGGGAGCTTTGAGCTGGGAGGGCGAGCAGAGGCAGGCCCAGCTCTGCACAAGCAGCTCTGTGTGTCCCAGAGTGGGGGCAGAGCAGCTGCACCCCCAGTGCCAGGGGAGGGAGGGAGGTGCCCACCCCAGGCTGCTGCTGACTCGCTCAAGGTCACAGAGCCAAGCACACGGCCCAGGATTCCCAACCCTCAACTGCTTGGATCGTGCTTCCCCCCCGAGGAACATCAGGGATTTAATATTCTCTCCACTGCTCAGCACAGAAAGAACAGAGCACTTGGCTTTCAGCAGAGCTGCTCTGGCTCTGGCAGCAGCTGCTGTTTCCTCCTGCCCCCCAAAGCAGCCACCACGTCTCTTTCCAATATTTTAATGAGTCGCTACATCTTACACTCATAATTATAAAAGAATAAGAATCCATAAAAATATTTTCTTTTCATAATACGCACTTAAAATACTCCAGGGCAAGTCAACGTGGTTCATTTGGGTGGGTTTTGTTTGTGTTTTCGTTTTGCCCCTGGCAGAACCCTTGGCTTGAGGGGGGGATGTGCTCCCCTGAGGTGTGATTGCTCAATCCCCCTCCCCAGAACTGCAGTTCCTGTTGCCCAGGTCAATAAAAACCAGGAGAGAGCATTGCTGAGTAGACGGGCAAGGGGACCAGTCACTGACCCGCAGAGAACTGAAGCACAGCCAATTTCAGTGCACATTGGAAAGCTCAGGGAAGGACGAGGGGGGGTCGGGAGGCGGCACAGAGAACGGAGGGAAGGAAGGGTTTGCATAAATATCATCCATCTTGTGTTGCAAAAACCCAAATGCTGCTGTGAGCTCTGGAGAGAGGCTCTGGCTGTAGCCAGCTGCCAGTGCTACCTGTTGGCACAACTCTGTGTGAGAGCGGCCATGAGAGGAAGGCTCAGAGGGCGCCGTTACCGGCCCCGGCCACTTCCTCCATCTGCTCTGCAAATTTAAACTTGAAAATAGATATATATATAAAAAAAAAAAAAAGAGACTAGTGTTGCATGCTTCTGTAGACCTCTCTTCACCTTCCAGGGCTCCAGAGTGGCAGCAGGGCCAGGACACAGACCAGATCCCCAGGTGAGCAGTAGGTAGTTCTCTCTTCCCTGTGCTCCTGGCTTAAGGCAGCTTCTGATTCAGCTCTTCCGTTTCCAACACAGGCACTGAGTTCTTGCAGGTAAGAATTTGGGAACTGCACAGGTGCAGTGGAAGAGGAAAAGGATTGGGGAAGAGAGAGATGGACACAAACCTCAGCCTCGGGACACAGACCACTGTCCATTGATTCCCAGGAGAGAGGGAGTAGCAGCAAAAAAAGCATTGAACAGCCAGGCTGGAGGAGAGGAGGAGGACGAGCAGCCGAGCAGGGGCAGACCTCCAGCTTGGAAAGTGAGAGAAGGTGGCACTGTCCAAAGGGAAGGTGCCCTCCAGCTTTTCCCCATGGCCTGGGGGTACCCCCAGCCCGACGTGGGCACTCAGCCCCTTGTGCTCTGGGTTGGACGCTGCCGGGGAGCAGGAGGGCACGGGGCAGATGAGCTGTCAGTGTCCAGTTTGCAGAGGCTTGTGCTCTCAGAGGTATTCTTGTAGAAAGTGCAGCAGCGTGATTTCGTAGTGCTCTCCTGACTCAGGGCACCGAATACTGTGTCTCTCGTTGGGGTAGATCTGTGCCAGGGCAGATGTGGGGGCATTGGTCACTCAGCAAGGACAGAACTCCCTCCCCTCAGCCCTGCTCCCTCCACCCAGTCTCCACCAGGACAAAGAAGTGCCAGGGAAGGTCTGGAGCATCCCCTCCCTCACTGCAGCCACCCCTGCCAAGTGGGACAGAGCAGCTCGTGGAGGAAAGTTCCAGGCCCCCGGGCAGCAGCCCTGCCTGCACATCTGCCAACCGTGGAACAGCCACAGTGCCACCTCCCGGCCTCCTCTCAGTCCAGCGAGGTGCTCACTGTCACAGCATCACAGCGGGATCTGGGGATCTGCCTCTGTCCCCAGAACACACAGCAGGAACTTTACCCAAACTTATGGGACCTTCCCTCCCCACTCCTGTCCCTCCTACCTGCAGCTGGTAAGGTTTTCCAGCCCGGATTAGCTGCGATACCAGGAAGTTGGTGTGAAAAAAGTGCACATTTTCATCCAAAAAGCCATGGAGGATCAGCAAACGATTTGGCCTGGATATGGGGTGAGAGATAAGAAAAGAAACAGGATGAGAAACCAGATGGAAAACAAACTGAAGCACCAGATAAAAGCTCTGCAGAGGGTTTGAACAAAGAACTTCCAGCTGGACAAGCCAAACCCAAGCAAGAGCAGTGCCAGGCCTTGGCCACTGGCCTCAAGCCTTCCCTGGCAGGGGGGCTGGGGGTGCTGTGGCCCAGCTGCTGCTGAGATAGAGCAGATCAGAACCCCTCCACTCCTTTGGGACAGGTGTGGGGAGGGCACTCACTCGTTGGGAAGCTTTTCCACGTGCAGTGCCACCGAGCCAGCCTCGTAGCCCTGCTGGTTGTTCTCGGGGACGTCCATGTAGCGCTCGGTGTAGCCGGTGTCGTAGGCCATCCACACGGTGACAGGGGCACCTGCTATAGCAATCTGTCAAACAGAGAGGTGCCACCACACAGCCTCCATTATTGCCTGCTCAACAGCCCAAGTGTTCCCTGCTCTCCTGGAGAGGCAGGAGAAAGGCTCTGGGCTGTTCTGTCACTCAGAGCAGGATTCTCCTTCAGTAATCCCACACACAACCCAGATTCCTGCAGTTTCTTTTGTGGTCACAGTGGGAAAAATTCCTGCACATCAGCACTAAAGGCCTTCCCTCTGCCTTGTGAACGATCAGAAACTGTGCTGGGGACTTGGGATGGGGAATAGCACATCAGTGTTCCTGTATGGCAGATCAAGCCCATCCCAGAGCCATCCCAGCCAGGGATGAGCTGCAGCAGGACACAGGACTGGAGTCAGGAGCTCCAGGCAAGCAGGACAAGGGGACATTTCCACCTGTCCACCACAAACAAGCCAAAATGCCAATTCCAGCTGCCAAGAGGGACAGAAGTGTGAGAGCCAAGTGTCCCAAAGGTGCCAGCCCCACGTGCAGGCTCACCTTGAAGACGTTGGGTTTACAGATGAGCCCCATGAGGGATAGAAAGCCCCCATAGGACCAGCCATGGATGGCGACTCGGCTCAAGTCGATGAACCCGTATTTTTCTGCTACATAATGTAAACCTTCCACCTGGTCCTCTATCTCCACCTGACCCTAAAAGGCAAAAAAGGAGGCTCATGTTAGTGGACTTGATAAATTTAGAAACCTGAGACAGAAACACTCACACAGGAAATGAGCAGCCACCACCCTTAGGAAGGACAAATGATGGGAGATTCCCCAGCACAAGGGGGACGTTACCATTTGGTTTTTCAGGGCCCCTTCAAATTTGAGGCCTCGCTGGCATGATCCCCTTCCATCAATCACCACCACAGCGTAG